TTGACGGGGCGGGACGGGCCGGCCCGCGGGCTGCGGGCTAAATTGACTGCTCTAACTGAGACAGTGCTTCAAATTTCCAACAAATAGAGGGAAAAAGGGTAAAAATTGAATCCAGAGAAGACAAAAAAGACTCAAATCTAAAAATTGAACTTTACGAAGTCATATTATTATTATTTAAAGTTTATTTAAGTTTATTTATGAGCTTTTATGTATCAATAATAACATGGAAATTTTGTAGTTGGTTACTTTAGGCAATTTTTAGAATTAATTAGAGTTGTTAATATGAGTTGCTTATTAGTTTAGTTCCACTCGACTCGTTAATAAACGAGTTCGCCTCGGCTCAACTAGTTAAGCTTAAAACTAGTATTGTTTATATAATTATCTAAACTATTAATAACATGATTTAATTCCTTACGAGTTGAGCTCGACTTGTTATTTATTGACTCGTTAAGTTGATGAGTCGAGCCAAGATCGGCTAGCGCTCGTTAATTACTCTATAACTATTCCATTAGTTCGGAATTATTATAGTCCATTTAATTTATTATAATAAACAAACTCTACATACTTAAGTCCAAAGTTTACAAAATAATGGAGCTTCAAAAAGTATTGCTTAAATTGTAAATCATTTAAATATGCGGTTGCACTTATGAAAGGCTTCATATTTTGTTTGATTTTAAACAATCAATCACATTGTAAAAGTTAAAAGTCATGCCTTTTAAAATAATTATATTAATTCTTTTCACAGCTTTTAAGAAGTATAATTTATAGTATTTAATTTATATAAAAAAAAAAAACGTATGATTACCTCAATNTTTTTTTTTTTACTGTAGTGTATTTTGTTTGTAATAATATAAAGGTGGTTTTAGGACACGTTTGGTTTCAGGAATGTCGGGGAGACTTTTGTCCTCACATCTGAATTTTCTACACACGAAAACATCGCACGTGCCCTTACCTTTTGACTTTTCCTTTTTATTGTTGTAAATCTTTTAGTTATTTTAAATTAAGTGAAACTGCTAATTTCGTTAATTCATTTTCTTTTCCATTTACCTATAAAAAAAGTATTAATTGGATTAAGCCTTCTAATATTTATTTTACCCATTTTCCAATTTTTAAATTTAATTTTTACTCAATAAATTGTTTTGGTCGTCTTCAAATGGCTCAAGCCTGAAATTTTCACCATTAAATCAACATGCATACGCGTAGTTATGTGTGAAATTTCGAATTTGTAAATAAAACCAAAATTAAGTGAAAAAAACAGTGTATTGGGTGAATTAAATAAGAATTGCAGACGATTTCCCTGCTTTACTAAAATGTTTTTTTATTTATTTTTGTTATTTACATTACTAAAATGTTTTTTATTTATTTTTGGTGAATTCAAATAAGAATATTCTCATTCGAACTTAGATTGCGATAGTATTATAACTTTATTTCCAAAAATTGTCTCGTTTGAAAAATAATTAGATAAAGCAAACAAAATATTTTTAAAAAGTGAGATTAATGTTTTCCGAAGGAATATTTAATATAAATATAATAATTAATTGAGTTGATATAAAGATAACATAATATAAATTGATCGATATTATTGATATAAAAAAATATGTAAGTGAACGAATAGTAATTTTTATGCAAAATATATAATTGTATCAGTGTAACTGTTGTTAAAAAGGTGAAATGATGTGAAATCGATTTTTTTTTTTTTTTTA